CATATGCTCTATAGAAGTTAACTGTCTGATCGTCCAGTACGAACTAAAATCGTCCTGTACGATCAATACAAAATTAATATGATCTCCTTATTTGTGTGTGCATGTTTTTATTCACTCAAGTTACAATCACTCCCTTTCAATTTGATTTCTAAGCAAAGTGCAAGCTTCAAAAATTTCAAGGTATCTCATGCTGATTTTAATTTGAAGTCTTCGCAGTCTGGAGTTCTTTTTCCCTGTAATGTTAGTACACACAAGAGCAAATACAATTCTTCCAAAAAATGTTAGGAGATAACTACACATTTGAACAATAATGTTTGGAATCATCAAAACTATATAAGTTGCAAGAATGTAAAACATGCAAATAGCAACTTTCCTAACAGTATTTATTTAAAAATAAAATAAAATATTAGACCCATTAGTGTGACGCTCTAGACTCGAGCATCCTACACTCACATAAATTTTTGAAAACTGAAGAGATTGGTGTGATAATGCCCATAGGCTTAATACTATAATAGTTTGTTACCTAAGTTTTTATGGATTTTAGTAAAACAAAACTTATATTCACTATGAAACTCTAATTGACAAAATAAAATTACTTACCTCTAGTCACACTAATCATAGCAACCAAATCATATATTCATTCATTCACACATGTATGCATTTATGACAATCAATCATATTAAATATAATGTAATTCATGTCAATCATAAAAAATAATATTCAAAATAGATATTCATATGAGAAGATCTCTCAGATGCATATCTCATTTCCTATTAACTCAAACTATTCATTATTTATTGTACTAGAGGTACTATCATCACTAACAGTGTGGGCTATCTCTAGCTTTTACTCATATTTCTTCCAATCATCCAACTTATGGAACCTTGACTGGACATTTAGATCCTTTAAGTCTCTATCCATATACATGTCTGGATTGATCAGTCATGAATCCATCCATATATGTCTTCATATTCCCTCTTAAGTACCTAATCATCTTATGGAATTTAGAGAACCCTTTCTAAAATTCGAATCACTGAAAAGATTTTCTAAATGGTTGACCATTTTAAAGATTAATATCATTATACACCTCTTAAACATATTGCAAACCCTATCTTAGATTCAATTCAGCCATGCATAAATAAACCTACCATCCAAACTAATAACTTTGAATTAAAACCTATAACCATTCATATGGTACATAATTCTTTGTTTGGGGGAACTCACATTCAAGATCCTAATCTATATTTAACGAGATTCTTAAAAAATTATGTAATATTTTAATTATAATGGTGTTAGTGATGAGGTCATTAAACTTAGATTATTCCCATTTCCACATTGAGACAAGTAAAAAATGTTTTTAAAATCATTACCCCAAGGCTCAACTACCATATGGAATGTGTTCACGAATAAATTTTTAGGAAAGTATTTCCCACCTTCTAAGACTAACAAATTTAGATATGATATTACTTCTTTTACTCAGTTAGAATGCAATTCCATTTATGAGAGTTAGGAGAGATTTAAGGAAATTTTTAGGAAATGTCCTCATCATGCCTTACCTTATTAGTTAGTAATTCAAATTTTTTATAATGGATTTATAAGATCCCTTTGAGCTATAATTGATGGTGTTGGTGGAGGTTTATTAATGTCAGAACCATTTGATGAGTCTTATGAATTAATTGACGAAATGGAAATAAATAAGTTCTAGTGACCTACTGATATGGTGAATTCAAAGAGAGTGGCAAGAGTCTATGAAAATGATTATTTATCTATTCTGACTATCTAAGTAGCAGTAAAATCTAATAAGTTAAGCACTTTAGGATTAAATTATGATTCATCTTTACACTTGGAAGATAAAAGCTTAACGGAAGAAAGATATTCAAAGGTTCAAAAATATAAATTTGATTAGAAGATAAAATAATCTCTACTCAAATAGATATAATCCATGTTAGAGGAAACACCCTAATTTTATCTGGTCTAATAATAATAATGGCGGAAATCAACAGAATTTTAGTCAAAATAACCAAGGAAGAAATTGGAATAATCAAAATCAAACTAATAACATTCTTATACTAGTAAATCCTCTATGATTTAATCAAAACATTCAGTTTGGAAGCAAGAAATCACCACTTAAAGATGTGATAATGCAATTGGAATTCAATTACAAAATCAAACTGCTTCAATAAAAAACCTTAAAAGTCAATTAAGTTAGCTTGCAATTTTTGTGAGTAGTAGATCTATTGGATCTCTTCCTAGCAATACTAAAGTTAATCCTAATGAAAAGGAAAGGGATGCCATTAGAGCCAAATTAAAAATTAAAAACCATCGACCCCAGCTAGATTAAAAATCTAGGGAAGTCTAGTTAAGACATAAAATTAGCACTTTTTAGGGAGGTAACCCTATAGATTAAATTTGTGTAATTTTCTTCAAAAATTACCTTGAAAAATAAGGAGGGATCGCTGTAGTGTAGAATATGGGAAAATTATAAATTGTTATCAATAAAAGCTTAAAATTTGGCATACAATCTTATACAAAAATTATAAAAGATAAGATGAGAGAGCTAATACAAGAGATGGTGAAATAATTAAAGTAAAATTTTAACTAATTATTAAAAATGCATTATTCATTTCAACATTCAAAAGTTAAATGATTTAATCTACTATAATTTCAAACTAGGTAAATACAAGAATGATTGGTTAAGTTTAACTATTAGTATTTTTTCAAACTTGAAGTATAACCCTGATTCATTTTTATTAATTCTACCCAGGGATGTATTATCCTATATTTTTTTAATTTTAGATTGTCACTTTTTACTTTAGTTAATTAATTAATGGGAAACACAAATTTTTATTTGCTTGAGGACAAGTATGAGTTTAAGCTAGGGAAGATTTGATATGTGAAAAACATGTTATATTTCAAGTGTTAATTTGTTAATGAAAATTTGTTGTTTTAATTATATTTGTACAAAAAAAATATAAGAGTGGGAAAATTTTTAAGCATTGGTATAGTTCCACAGTTTTGGACACAGTACTGCCATGTCCATCTTTGACACTGCCGAAGAACAAAAATGTGGACAGAGCAGTGCCTAGTCTCTATCTGGATAGTTCCATAGTGCAAGATGATATAGGGTCACAAAACCCAGTCTCTATATTGATAGCACCGTAGTCTCATAGGAGTAAGTGTTGCAAAGCCCATTCTTTCCTGTATAGCATGGACAAGCCAAGGAAATACCACATAGGTGCCACGACACTCAATCATCAGTAACGCTGTAGTTCTATGGCTATAACTAATTAGGACAAAATTTGCCAGTAAACTAATGTGTTAATTCATTAAAAAATGGGTCCATGTCAATAAGCACCGCATTGGAGGAAGCCCTTCAGTGTTGTGCCATTAGTTCATTTTATGGGTGTCGTGATGCAAGTGTCTCAAGTTTCACGATGCTAGAAACCATTTTCTACATTTTTCTATAAAAAACACATTTTTAATGTTTGTGAGAGAGTTCATTCACTTAGTTAAAGACAAACTTCAAAGTGCCTTTCTTAAATTTCCTTAAGAATGACAACTAAGAAAATTTAGGGAACATTAGATCCAATTAATTATAGTGTTTGGTCAGTATTTGTGGAAGCATTTCTTTAAGTTCAAGGAGGATTTTAGAGGAGATTGTTGAACCATGAAGTGAAATTTTTTCTTCTATACTTCATTTCTTTTGTGTAATTAATGAAAATGAGTTTACTTTAATTATTCATGTCTGGATAAATTCTCTATTTTTGAATTGATGATGTGAATTAAACATGGAGTACTAATGATTTCTCTTAATCTTTAAAGTGATGAAATGATGTTTTCAATATACCAGATCTTTATTTAAAGCACATAGTTGCCATATATGTAGTTAATATTAAGTATAATGTGGGGCCTAGAAATATCAAAGCTGGAATAACCAGGTATATTAGATTGGTATGATATAAACATAATAACAGTTATTATTATCTATTAAATTCATAAAGATGGATTGTTGTGAGGGGAATTAAAAGTACATGCTTTACTTACTCTTCTAATATTTTTATAGGGTGTGTATTGAGTGTGGAATGAGTTAGGCCCTTCCTTTATCTCTTCGTGCTTCACTTAATAGTCGATGATGCATATGCACTGAATAACATCACATTAAAAAGTGAATCATTAGTAAATATATTAATTTACATTTCATTAATCCAAAAAAATTATTCATATAACTGTATATATTATTTTGATATTGATTTACTCCACCGCCCCCATCACTTATCCTCTTTAGTCTCCTCACTCACAACGTTTCTACTATATGCACCACTCATCAACTGAGCTACAAACTAGAAAAATATAGTATACAATAAAAACTCATAGGGGATATTGTACTATACTCATATGGTACTTTATTGCAAAATGGATCCATCGCACTCATATATTTTTATTTCTTATCAAGTTATAATTCAATCATATATATGCATGAAATTACCAATACGAAAATGAATGCACCTTAAATCTATCACATTTCTATCCATCTCAATAAATTCATATGGGTTGGGTTACAAATCCATTCTTACAATAATGATTACACTAAAACCAAAATTTATAATGCCATAGTATCTAATATTTGAATAATTTTCCTTTTCATCTCAAAATTAATTTATTTTAGTAACTACTTTTTATTTATTTAAAAATAAACCAAGAAAAAATTTGTACATCGAAACATTTCAATATATTTATCATTCAATCAAAATCCATTCAAAATAGTTAGAAATTTAACTAATGCATCAATCTATTTATCAATACTTATGACTATAAAAATATAAAATAAAAGTAGAAAAATAAGACTATACCTGAAGATTCTAACCTATCTCACTCCATTGGATCCTGACCTCTTTCTAAATATTTATAAAACAATAAAGTGAGCTAACTAATTAGTTATCAAAACCTTCAAGTACAATCAATATAACATAGTATAAGTAGTATGCATATAATCATTCAGTCTAGATCAATAAAAATATATAACTGTATCATTATATAGCCAATATGAGCAGTACAATTTTATATGAGTAAATAAAAATTAGTAAAAGTAATATAATTTATATTCATTGATTGATAATCATAAAAAGGATATATGTTATATGATTGACATGCTTTATCATTCCAAAATCCATGTCCAATACATTGCAACATGTAATCTGCAGATGCCTATAAAGTATGTTTTATTTCAATATATATGCTATTTCTTGTTATATATATATATACCATATCTAGTAAATGTTCTATATATATCATATGTATGTCATACAATATTAATGAATGTATATTACATTATATATAAAATGTAATGTATCTCGCATATCATGTACTTGATATGTAACATATGTTGCAAATCTAGGCTCAAGTACTATAATTTTAATGATAACAAATATTATTATATTCTTACTATACTATCTCCTGATAATTGAGTTTATTTGCATATCTAATTTTTATGTGTGCTCTCATTTCAGGTCCACTGATCACTTGCAATATCAATCAGCTTAATACTTGGTAAATTAGGGTTGAGTTAGTATGTAATTTCAATTTAAAATTTATTTTATCTTTCTTGAGTAAAAAGATATATTGTGGTGGATCCAAAAGCCAAGCAACCTTATACATACACACTCAAGGGAGTGAGTTAGAGAGTTAGAAAACTTTCTATTTTTTTGAACTAATTGTACAGTGTGATTTTTATCATACTAAATAATATATTTAATAGAAAAACCTAATTAGGTCATCTCTTTTAGTTAAGATTAACTAAGCTAATCATCCTGGATGATCATTATCATACAGGATGATACATTTTAATCAAGAAATCAATTATGAATCATAATTTAGGCAAGATTTCATAATTCAAAATTTATTCATACCGTACAAGATGATCTGCATCATCCTAGATGATAGTTGAAAATCATAACTAAATTAATCATGTGTTTAGGAGAATAATTATAGTAAAATTGTTCGATCTAATCACATAGGATGATTAATGTTGACGTCCTGGATGGCAGAGAACATGCATGGGATGATAAGGGGTCGTTATTAGTCATACCAGACAAAGACCATAGTTTTTCAACAATTCGTCTAGGATGATGAACCCTTTTTGTACTAGATGATAAGTCATCATTGAGTATCGTACAAGATGAAGATTAAAAGTTGTATACTAATCATCTGAAATAATAGTTTAATCATTCAGGGTATCTCTCTTGAACTAATTTTATATGGTAATGTAATTTATATTGTCAGAATTTGTGTTTTTGAACTAATCATATAGAACTATCGTATGATCATAATGGACTATAAGTGCTGTCAGATTTAAAAATACAGATTTTTTAAGGCTCATTATTTAAGTAATTATCTTTATCTTTGGGAAAAATCTTTTACTGTTGAGTTATCATGAGAAAGAGCTTAAAGAGGGAAGAGAAGGAAAGCTTTGGGAGATAAGAGAGAGAAATAGAGATCATTATGAAGGGAGTTGTGAGGGATTCATAAAGGTTGCACCAAGCAAGGTTTCCATCATC